ACGCTTTTCATGTAAACAGCGGGGGGGGGGGTGAGGGTGGGAGGGTTGTGTCTGTTGCTCTTCTAATTTGCACACAGCTGTCTCTTTGCTGGAGCATTACACTGAGAAAATGAGGTAGAGTCGAATTGGATGGAGGTGAACGCGACCGTTCAGCAGCAGCTGACAACATCAGTCCGAGCCTCTCATTAGTCATAATTAGCTGTGCTTAGTGTCCCCGCCAATATGTCATGTCTGATGAGAGATGTCACTCACAGCACCAATAAAACCAACGGATGTGAAAGCCCCCCCCCCACCCCCTCCTCTCTGCGAAGTGATTACAATCACTGGGCAAGGTAATTACTCATTAAGCTGAAAATCAAAATCCTAATGAGGAACAGGATTCTCAGTAAGCTCCTTCATCTCCCATTTTTTTCTACTTTGGTGAAACTGGAGGAGATCTTTTGAAATGCCCAGATGTGCACTTGAGTAGGGTGAACTTGTCAATGCGTCGTGAAGTGACTTGATACCGAGCCGCCTGCAAGCGATGAAGCATTTTGATTTTGCTTTATCGAACTCACAATGTGGACATCAGTCTCTTCGACCTAGAATTGAGTGGATGTTTGTTTGGGTTTTTTTTTTTAATATGAAAAGTAAGGCACTATGATTACTTAAAAATAAATCTCGTGTGACCTGAAAATGTTCTGTGTCTGTGAGTATAGGGGATTATTCCATTGTAACTTGAAATGATTTCAGTCATGGCAAAATATAGAATTTTGCGGAAAAATCTATTGTTTTCCTCGAAATTATTATATTATTTTGATTATTAGGATCCGAGCAGCAAATGCTGCAAGAACTCAGTTTTTGTAGAAATTCTTCTTCTGATTATTGTTTGGGGCCTGAGCATCGAACGCTTCAAGGAAGCAATTGTTTTCTTCGAAATTCTTTTTCTTCTTCTACTTCTCCATAAAGACTCACATTTTGGAGGAACTAATTCCAAACGAAAACTCACCAACCTTTGCACACACATTGGGCCTGGCGAAAAATGTTACATTTTAAAATCGCCACACACGAGTACAAAAACATGGGGCCAGAGCTCCCCCTTCTGGGGTTTGACGGACCCTGTCCTGGTGCGTTTAACTTACGGCTATGAAAATTGGAAGACCCGTGTGGCGCCCTTAGACATACTTTTTTTTTAATTTTAATGTACAATTTTGGTCCATTTTTGCCCATTTATAGGGTCATACTTTTGCCCGCTTGTCCCACACGGTTCGCCCAATTGACTTCAAACTTGGGCTGTACCATTTCAATACACGGGACAACAACTAGGAAAATATTTTACGCTTTTGACATGCATGGCATGTTAATGGAACACTTTAACTTTTCCCGAGGTGTGATTGTGAGCGCAAATGGTTGTTCGTCTCTGTGCCCTGCGATGATTGCTTGGCAACCCGTTCAGAGTGTACACCGCCTGCTGCCCGGAAAAAGCTGGGATGGGCTCCAGCACACCCGCGACCCTCGTGAGGATCAAGCCGATTAGAAAATTGATGGATGGATGGAATTGAATGATGTAAAAAAAAATCGTTATGTGAGGATGCAGGGTTTTTCGCAGACAGCTGTGATATATGTGACGTCTGTAGTTGTGAGCAGCATTCTGGTTGTGTGTGTGTGTGTGTGTGTGTGTGTGTGTGTGTGTGTGTGTGTGTGTGTGTGTGTGTGTGTGTGTGTGTGTGTGTGTGTGTGTGTGTGTTACCCCACATTCGGTCGTTGTGAATAAATCCAAAGGGAGACTTATCGGATTGATCTTTGCAGATTTCACCACTGTGCTGCGGCATCGTATAAAGTCTCCGTCCCTATCAAAAAGATCAACGCAGTACAGTCAGACTCGTGACTAAAGTTTGTGGATTTCACACAAATGACATGAAAGTATGTTATTGCCTTCATATTGAAATTGCACGGTGCATTCCATTAATGTGACATGAGTTTTCACTGCTGGAGAGCCCCTAAGTCTTAATTTATCAAAGTGGTCCAGATGCCGGACAAAAAGCAAAAGCTACAGTTCATGGTATTACTTTTAAGTCGTGCCAATGCTTTTCCTGCTATTTCCTGTTAAAAAAAACGAAACAAAAAAAAACATTCAGATCAGCAGAGCATCAACAGCCAAGCTAAAATATGTTCCCCTTTGTTGAAATGGTACAAAGGCTCCTTGTTTTGTTCAGCCTGAGGTGGGAGGGGGCCGTGCTATCTCCCCAGCCATTATGAACAGACGAAACGATTCTGCCAATGCATGTCTATTCTGTCGACATGAGCTGAACTTGCAGGGCTGCGTGGAGTCATGAGACAGGAAACGCGTTGTTTCACATGAGACCTTCCCCTTTGCTGAAATCTGAACCCTTTGTGCCCGCCCAGCTGCAACATATATCGACACCAGGCCAGCGCTTTACAGCGAAACATGACATCATCCGGCCAAATATTTCTTTCTTCTCCCGGAGGCTTTGTCAGTATGAGTCTGCTTTGCTCAACATTTACTTGTTTTACTTTCAAAGCAAGCCGATATTAAACGGACAATCTGAGCTCCACACATTTTCCGTCCGGCTGCATTCTTTTCGTGCGAGTACAAACATTGATGGCGCGACGCTGTGGGAGATGGAAGAGTGCTCCCGAGTTATTCACAGAGGAGCTTCTCTGTGCTTCGTAGAGAGCAGATGAAGAATTTTGTCGAATTCCCTTCCCGTACTTCCCACCTATAAATGCACACAATACGGATTGAATCCTCGTCGCCTCATAAATATCGTAATTATCTCGTGTCTCTTTGTTGGCATAGCTTTGTTTTCTTTTTTCCTCCCCACAGACAAGGTTCATTACCTCGGGAACAAGTCACCTCCTTAGCTTTTATGCATCCCGCATCGTGATTAGATTTTTTTTTTTTGTAATGAGGAGCTGTAATCTCCTTTTTTATCATGTGCCGAACGGTCTCATTTGCATCTCCTACATCCCCCACAATGCCTTTCATCATCACCTCTTTTGATTGTGTTGCTTTCAGGCGCTGGCATTTTAAACGTGATGAAAGGCTCTTGAGTTGGGGCTGAGACCTTCGTTCTGTGGTTTACGTGGCTGAGTGTCTGTGCAAAACACACAGGGGGTGTTAAAGAGTACACGCTGCACTCGTGACACTGTGCGATATCCTTTGTTGTATTTGCGACGCAACAATAACTGCCGGTTTCAACCCTCCAGGGCAGAATGCCTCATTGAATTGGATTTCGGAATTGGATATAAAGTGCGCAGGCTACCTTGTGTGCGATGTGACAAGGAAAGCTGTCATCTGTTTTGATTCGGTCCCGCCCGCACGCGGTGCTCCTACCAAAAATACTCAAGCTAAACCATATGTGTATTAATCTGCTGCGGAAATCCAAACATACCCCAGTTTCAGTAAACCTGCTGTTCTGGTGAACTACTTTACCCTTAAAAGCAGTCAAATCACAGACTTGTCGTTTTTTTCTTGAATGTTTCCTAAGCCGAATAGCATAATTGCCCAAGTAACCTTTTCGCAAAACAAGAAAAAAAAAAAAAATCAACAAAAAAGAAAAGTCCAGTTTGCCTTGAATTCAACCTTTGCGGATTACCATGACCCGGAAGACTGCGAATCGCTCAGATTCCCATACTGCCATACTAGTAAACAAAAACCTGACATTTGAACAGGGGTGTGTAGACTTTATATATCCACCCGACATATAGCGTGAGAGGAAGAGATGTACGAGCTTGCATTGTCTGGTCCTCTCCTGGGAGCCACTTAAACAAAATGTCCGCGCTCTCCCGGCTGCACGGCTGACGAGCATCACCACAAACTCTTCTATACGTCCATTCATTTTCTATCGCCCTAAGATCCATAGAGACGCATTCACACCTGAGGGCAATTTACCGTCTTCAGCGGAGCGAACATTCCCTGGATATATCGTACATCCAGCAGCCGGAACGTTATGACTGCTTGCACATCATGAAATCCAGTACAATTGCTGTAGCAAATATTCAAACATGATACAGGTGGCTCTGTCAGAGAAGTGCAGGATGAATGTAACAATTTTGGTTGTAGTTTGAGTTGGCTACACTCCCGTGGAGCTGACATTTCTGAATATAGGGGCACCTGTGGTCACAGAAACATCAAGCTAATTGGTTGGATGGTTACAGCTTTAACTTTTAACATGCTTGTCGACAAAGTATCATTTTCTTTCTAATCTCCTGAGAACACACTCTATGTGCTTCCTCTGGTCCGTGTTTAATGTGGTACACAGTCACCCTTGAAACAGGTTGACTGACTGAGTACAAGTTTGAAGTGACCTGTGATGCTAATTAGAGGGGACCCTCTGTTGAAACTACATTGATGAACACATTTTTAATTCTTTTTTTTTTTTTTCATTAGCGAGGCAAATGAACTTTTCAAGACTATTTTTTTGTGCTAATTCCAAATCTACCCACATCAAGGGTGTCAATCTCATTTTTGTCGCGGGCCACATTTTAGTTTTCCTTGGAGGGTCGTTATGAGCGAAGCCATATAAAAAAAGTCAAGAACAACGGTTTATTCAACTATTGTTTAAGTTATTGTAATGAGAGGTTCAGTAACAAGAAAATGCTTCCAATATCACTCTTATTTATTTAAAATGAGAATTTGAATTATTGGTAGAGATTTTAGCAAGCATCATGAAAGTTGCCATCTTTGATTTGCATTCGCGGGCCACATAGAATGATGTGGTGGGCCAGATCTGGCCCCTGGGCCTTGAGTTTGACACGTGACCCACATTATTTTCTCAAGCGCATCAAGTTTTCATAATATTACTTCTAATAATATAATAAAAATAATATATGTGACATTGTAATATATTGAGCATTTTAAAAATGAATTAAGGGTTAGGTTCAGCAGCAACAGTTTTGTTTTGTTTTTTAAAATGTGATATAATTGGCACTGTGTTGTTGCAAGTTAACAGTCTTGCCAAAGATGGCTCATTGATGTCCCGCTCGTCCTCCTCCAGGCAAATACGTGTACCAACCCATGACCAACGTGTGCCAGCTGCCCAGCACGGCGGTGCCCCCCGCGGCCACGGAGTACAGCAGCACCATGGACCTGTCCGTCTCCCTGGCCGAGCGCTTCCTCAAGCTGGCGCCCTGCTTCCGCTCGCCTCCTCACCTGGAGTCTCCCAAGTACTGCGTCATCGCCGACCTCTTCGTGGACGACTATGTGGTCAAGCGCATCAACGGGAAGATGTGCTACGTGCAGCGCCCGCTACCGCCCGCGCTGCCCGAACCACCCCCACCACCCGCTCCCCCCATCCCTCAGCCGCAATCCGCTGCCAAGGCCGTGCCGGCGCCGGCCCAGCGCGTGCACAGTGAACAAAAAAAACACGCCTCCCCCTTGGACAAAGTCAAGGGTTCCAAAATGGACCATTGCTCGTCCCCATCCAGCTCGGAGGACTCCGGCATCAACGCGCTCGGCCTGCACTGTATGGAATCCTGCGAGGACGAGAGCGAGCGGGAGGACGACGAGCTGAGCACGGATGGAAACTCCAGTCCCGGAAGCCTGTGGGATCAGGACGAAAGCTCCTTGCTCTCTCCCTCCAAATCGATGATTGAGATCATCGAAAAGATCGAAACAACTGTCTGAAGTCGTCGTCGCGACGCAAGCGTCTGAGGATTTACCTTCGATGAGCCTGGACGATCAAACCCCCGGGGGCTGTCTCGTTTGTTTTCCTCTTTCCACCTTCTGTTCACAATCCCCGCATGGAATGAATTTCTGCCACTTTCTACCAGAAAGGACACAAAGATGAAGCACAAGAGTGCCAAGCACAAGCACAAGTGGACCGAACAGCACATGATGGAAAACGGGAAGGACAAAAGCAAGGTGAAAGTACAAAGGAGTGTTCGGGCCACACTGAAACGATAAAACCACGCGAATGTTAAAAGAATCGAGTCAGATTTTTGAAGGTTCAATTTCCAACACAAACTTAAACAATGTCATATCGTTCAGTATTTGTTTCAAAAGAAACGCATCTAGTGAAAGAGATTTAAGTGTGTAGTTCTTTCTCCGGGACACACGCAAACGTTTACACAATCACAAAGTGTTCAGCTTTTATACTCCTGATAATCAGGCCTCATTCTTATATCGACTTTCACCGTCACATCATTTTAGTTTTGCAGTGCAGAAAAGAAAGAAAAAAAAAAACAAATTGTACTCCTCCGATTTATTTTTTGGGGGAGGGGGTTACAGTGAAACTCCTCTACAACGAAATCATGTATGCAGCAAGAAATTTTTCACAACAGGGGGTTTTTCACTGTAGCAAATTTGATCTCAGATGTACACACGTACACACACACACACACACACACACACACACACACACACACACAAACGTATGTGTACTCTTTATTTTTATTCCAATAGTGCATAAGTATGAGCATACACTTATTTGACACATCATATAGTCAGTGTCGAAAGAAAAAAAGAGAAATAATTCGCGAAATTTACGATCAGCATTCACTTTTTCACTTACAACAATTTCTTGGATAATGTACTTTATTTTGCTTCCTCCGTCTTTCATTTTGATCAGTTTTCCCCTCTCTTCCAGCGTCAGAGCTCTTCTTGTCTTAGTTGCTTGACATCCAAAGGTCCGTTTTGTAGCCATTTTAGCAATGCAACGTTCTTGCTGCGTCTGAAACTAACAATAACAAATACTTCCTGGACTACTGCGTCCCGCTCGTCCTCCTCTATGAAGCAGTAGAGGTCGCTGTTGGATTAGACTTCGTTGTAGTGAATCTTGTCGCGAGGCAAGAGCAGAGAAAAAGATTTCGTATAACGCAACAGGGGTTTTTTTCGTTGTATGGGGGGCAGGAAAATGGGAATGGTGTTAATGCATGAAGATCTTTTCACACTAGGGGGTATTTTCGCCCGTGTAGGTTTCGTTGTAGAGGAGTTTCACTGTACTTCTAAATGTGTCTTGGTATGTATACCCTGAACTGGTTGCCAGCCAATAGCAGGGCACACAAAGACGAACAACCAATCGTGCTCACAATCACACCTAGGGACGATTTCCACTGTTCCATTAACCTGCCGTTATAACACCACATCATTTGCTCGTAAAATATTGACGTTATTGACGGAATAATTTGAAAAAGAAATCAATCAACTTCATTCTTACATTCTTGATGTATTTTCTTTTCAGTGTGGTCCCAATGCTCATAAAGCATGTTGTTAGTGAACCGCAAGAATTCAGAAGTTCCCTTCACGAAAATGAGCACTTGCACATGCATCAAGCCGTCAGGTGTTCTTCCTCATTCTCTGACCAAAGCTTTGGCTTGATCCCACCCACGCAAAGGTGAAAAAAACTCTCCATATCGTAAGGACAAAGCTGGCTTACCTATCACGCTGGGTCTTTCAAAGCCGCGTTTGTGTGCACTTTAACGACACCGATACGCTAACAACCGGTATGGGCAGAGAGGTCCGTGTTCGACAATCAAGGATTTTACACACAAGCACATTCCTATGCCGTGCCTGCCAATGAGGACTAAGGATGTTCTCTCTCCGAAAAAGACTCTCATCCCACCACCACCGCCACCTCCTCCTTCGGTCCAGTTCAACCTGCCCACTTTGCAAATTTGGGCTTAAATCAAAACATGACTTGTTCTGACCTCCATTAGCTACAAAGAAATGAAGCAGCGCTGATATGTTGTCAGTGTGGCTGGAGGGGAAGACATTCTTCATCCATTAGAAAGTTCTGGTAGAATTCAACAATGTCATTTGCTTTTTGAGCTTTGGAGTGAAATGTGTCGTGAGGATTGCGGTTACGGGAATCCAGGCTAGGCTAGGCTAGGCTAGGCTAGAGCTGACTCATCTTTGTGCTATGGAGCCCTGCAAAGGTTGATCAGTGCACATTTTAAAGAGATGAATATGAATACATTTATGTGATGCATATGATGTTAGAGTTCAATATATAACATGAACAGGGTGGACCCCCTATTAGTAAAATACAGTTGGTCACATGTTCAGTCTACCTGATTTATTTGAAATATTTATTTTAAAATGGTGGCATCAACAATACAACAATTTGCATGTCTGTATTTACCCGAAAAAAAAAAAATCATATACCATACGCGTTGGTTACACAGCAAAAGGCACAAGTGAAACTACTATTCACATAAATTGGGTTTCTACCAATATCACAGTTTTGAGTTTTATGTTCTGAAGCTTCTGTTATTTTCTTATCAATAAATACTAATGAAACTGCTTTTTTCTTTCGTTTTGTATTTTGTTGACAGAATCTAACAGTAACTATTCCTTTGAAGGAAGCAAGCTGCACGAGTAGATGGCACATCTGCTAAGAGATTCAGGGTTCAAGTCTGAGCTCTGGCTTTCCTGTGTAAAGTTTGCGTGCATTCTGTAAGTAGATGTATAGTCTACTTAAAAAAATAAAAAAAATAGTATCTGGATCCAGACGATTTTATTTTATGCAACCACTTGGCAAAATAAAATTGAGTAAATTCAACGCCTTGTTTTTTTCAATGCGCTCTGACTTGAAGAAAATTTGTTTGTGGCTCACTCACGTTTGAAACTTATTTGAACATTTAGGTTGGGTGAGTTGCCAGTACCGCACGTGCACATGTTCGTCACCTGATACAGACCGAAATGTTGACATCTGTAAGTGGATGCCGTGAAGAGAATGTGCATCTATTTTCAGAGTGATTAGGAAAGACAATACGTTACACGTCAGAGTGATGAGCTGTCCTGAGAACGTTCTCACCTTGACTTGAAAGCCACATTGATTTTTTTTCCATTTTCCTCGCCCTCCTGCGTTTGCGTCGATTGATTCTGTTTTTTTTTTCTGCAATGGCAAAACAGTGCGGAATAAGATGGAGTTTAATGATCATTCGTTTCTGGAAAAAAAATGTAGAGGCATACTCACTAAAAAGATTGTTGATGAATCAAGTGCTGACGCAGATGATATCAGGAAAACTACAGAACAATGCTTCATCCAAGGTCCACTACTATTTGTTCTGTGAAACTGGTCCGACTGGCATTTGGTTGCCTTTCAAAACAAAAGTCCACAGTGACATTGATTACATTTGGAATAATACGTTCATGAGCTCAAAACTGCCACCACCCTCAAACATGTTTTCAATTGTGCAGTGAGCGATTCGGATGATATGCAAAATTGCCAAACTCATTGAAAAAAGACAGAGAGAACAACCACCTAAATTGCCTAAACATTGTCTGTTAGTTTAATGCTAACAAACAATGCAAAACACCTTACACAGGTATAAAACAAAACAAAACTGTGAACATGAACAGAGGAGCAACATGCACAGTAGACAGACAAATACAATACTCACAGACATATATTCTTTGTCCTCTGCGAAGAAAGCTTACTGAGGAGCCGTGTCCATTTTTCTGTATTATACTGCCCCCAGGTTGACCAAGAAGCAGTAAGATAAGATATCCTTTATTTGTCGCACATTGGGGAAATTTACAGTCTACAGCAGCAAGATTGTGGGTAGAAAGAAGAAAGAAGAAAAACAAAGTGTTTGCATTCACAAAATAAATGTTACAGTTTCAATGTACACCGTTCAATTCAGTACAATCTCCATTGAAATGACGCACAAAAAAAGGACATAAACTTGCTCATTCTTGACATTTTGTTTAATCATGTTACAACTATATCTTTAAGCACAATATTACAGAATACTATTGCTTTAATAACAAACAAATGCTCAGTGTTGTGGGATTGCTGGAACAGATTAATGGCTTTTCCATTCATTTCAATAGGGGTAAATGATTTCAGATAACAGTGTCGCAATGGAACAAATTGAACTCATATAAAGGCACCACGGTATAAAGGCAATCAAGTGAGCCCAGACTTGAAGTTAGTACCTTAGAATTGTGAGGCACACGTTAACCTCTAGGACAATGTGCTGCCCAGAAAAGGAACATTGCTAAAATGAGAACACAAATATATCTCCACAATTCAACCATTGCTCTGTATTAAATATATAAGAGAGAAAGTGAAAAAAACAACAATGTGGCGTGTGTGTGTGTGTGTGTGTGTGGGTCTGAGTGGGGGTGGGGGCCTAATTTAAAGGTGATTTTGCCCTCTGCTTGGTGCTGAAGTGCTGAAGTGGATGACCAAAGAGAGGAAGAGAGGGGCCTGTTCGGTAAAACGTCATGATGCAAACTCATGTAAGGCCTGAGGATGGATGGTGCGATTCTGCTGCGGCGCACTTTTTTTTTTTTTTTTTGGTCAACTCTTTTTAATTTCCATCTTCAAACGTTAGCGAACGATCAAAGGCTGCTTTTATGGTCACAGAGTGATTCCGCTGGCAGACACCTTAAGCGGGGCGATATGCAATACGGCCGGTAATGAAACGGTCCTTCAAGGACTGCTCCACATTGGCCCAGCATGAGTCACAAACTGTTCACCCACCCGCCCCTCCGACTTTTATATATGCGTGTCAGCACATTAGGTTTCGTTTTCAAGCTGTTGCAGTTCACTACATGCAATGTATGAAAGACATTGCATGGAGGATGTTTTAAAGAGATAAACTTAGTTTACTTGTGGTACTGTATATCACCGAAGTACAGTTCACTTAATAGCATGGATGGATATATTTCCAAAATATATCTGGAAAAAAAAACTGAAAAAGAAGAAAATATCTTTTTTGAAGATCTGTCATGCATGCTTATTTTTTGTATTTGTCCAAATGAACAAACATAACATAAATCGACAAAACTAACTTTTTCCAAATAAAACCAACTACAATTTGTCGTCCCCTTTCTGCTGATGTATAGCACAAAGTTACATTAAGAAATAATCGAATAACATATCATCTCATTTAGAGTACGTACAGTGATCCCTCACTATTTCGCGGTTCGTTTATCACGGCTTCAGTGCATCGCGGATTTTTTCAAACATATTCTTAAAAAAAAA